GTAGGCTTTATGGTACCTAGAACTAATCTGGTGCGACTTCATAGAATGAGGTTATTTGCAGTACCTACCACACGATGTAGAGTGAGTGAGATGGCCCCCCTGTCCCGTGCACTTAGGTATCTAAACCAGTTGCTTAACTTGGACTCCTCATTGGACCTCTTTGCATGCTCAGAAACAAAATTCATATTTTCCGCAGGACGCTATCTGGAGTCCTTGACCGGAGATAGTAGTATTAAATGTTAGTTTAAAATGTAATAACAAATGGTGTTTATCTTTTTTTTGTCATTAATGTTAATCTGTAATAATTTATTGTTTATGGTATTGTATTTATAATTTTATCAATTTTCATATTTTATTCACTTTTGTAATTGACTTAAGATTGATTGTACATTTAGCTTTAAGTCTTACTATTGCGTTTGGGTTGACTGTAAGCAATATGTAATAAATAAATAAACGGTTACCCATGCTGAACTGCCATGCAGAGGTCCCAGGTTCGATTCCCCACGGCACACAGGTTTTCCCTACAGCGGGGCTATATTGAGTGTGTGCTTTATTATTATTATTATTCTTTTGAGAAATAAATGTCTTAAACCATACATTAATAATAATAATATTAATGAGCTTGACAACCACACCTATTACTTGGTCTCCAACTGTGAAATTCTTTGTAACGTGAGTGGTACACGAGTAACGGAATTCACTTTGGGGCTTCCACACGAGAAACAATTATAAAGTTCATTTCCCAAATTGGTACTGCCGAGAATCGAACTCGGGGCCTCCTCATTTACCGCCCAAACTGTTAACCACTGGGCTCTCCGTGAATAATATTAGCAGATAGGTGCACCAATGCGTGGTTATCTATTTCACAATTGCATTCTGCTGATGGCATCATTTGTTGGTGTAGTTCAAACTATATTACTTGTGGCAAAAACGACCTATTCGTTCTGTTTATCGTTTAGGTTCTCAGGTTTCTCTCAGATAAAAGTTTAAAGAAACTGGTGTCATGATTGTCGCATCACAGTACATTTACTCAAATATTTCGTATGCCCGTAAAAATATACATAATTTCATTAAGTAAGAAGATATCCATAATGTTAACCTTAGCACTAAGGCCAAACTCATGGTACCACGATTTCTTTTAACTAAGGTAAACGATTCTGTATGTAATGATAATGATACAATTAGATTCCGGACCATGTATTAAAATAATCATTTCCTAAATTAAAAATTTACATTAAAAGTATTTTAATTGAAAAGTCAAATTACAAAATTTTAGGCTACGTGTTAGATAAAAATGTGTGGAAAGATGACATGGCTTTAGATTACACACACATTTGATTCAAAGTATATTCCATAGCATTTATGATTATTTGAAAAGAACAATCCATAGAGTTTCTCATTCGTTCTTCCCAGGGAAGTCAGCACAGTGAACGAACAATAACTTAAAAAATGATGTTTTTGAAGTGTAAATTTATTTTACCTATGGAATAAAAATAACAACTTTGACCTTATAGATTCCATTGCAGGAAAAAGAAAAATTATCATAACGTAATTAAGTAATATTTTGCATGCATCATTCCATCAAAAGACCACAAAGACGTAATAATTATGTATTTATCCTTCCTTTAGTTTAATATTTCCGAAAGCAAAATATATTCCTCATTGAAACAGCTAATTGGATTATAGATGGTTCTCAATAGGTAATGAACTGGAAAGAAATTTATAATAAATAAAAAAAAGAAACACACTGGCACTAAGTAAACCCTTTGTCGCTGGTGCCATGAATACACACATAGACAATAACAAATTATACTCAAACTCACGAGTGAAATACATGAAAGCCATTCAAATATTTCTGCGTGGCATACTAGCATGGTAATCTTTCGGCCAGGGCGGTAATTATAATTGATAATACCATCTGAAGGACCTTCTACTGCAGTTTCATATATACATTTATATAATTATTAAGTAGGACCGGTAGTTGCCCATGGCGGAACGATCGCGTCTACATTATTGAGAGAAAACGTGAGAATTTAGACTATGGTCGAAGTGATAGTTATTATAGATAATTATCACATTAATTATGCTGATATTTATTTAATCTACACACATATCAAAACCCTCTATGATGTGTTCAAAAACCACCAATTACGACCAGCATAAAGGTAAACTATTTTGTTTGAATAAATTTCTTATCGATGAAAATATTATTATTGCTTAAAAATAACATCAAATTCGATTTTAGCCTTACATTCAAATTTCGAACATACCAATTTGATTCGACCTCAATTCTAATATCAGTCGAGATGAAGTTTTAATCGAAATGAAATGTCAATAGCAAACAATTTTGACAAATCTCACACGTTACTTGATATCGAACGATATGACAGTTGGGGCCGACTCTGGTTTGTCTATGAATTAAAATAAAACTACGGTTGTATGACATGCTTGAGAAATAAGTTTTTTGCAATATTTTACTAATAATTACTGTAACATGCGGTTCCTGTACACATCACATGGAGTTTATAACACGTGTGAAGATAAAGCATTGTATGTAACTGTACATAATTAAGCATTAAAAAACTCGTGTGATGTTTTTAAACCCGCACTCGTTTTTTAGTGCCTTTCATTATGTAATAATCACATAAACTATTAAAATTAATTGAATTATCAAAATGCTGCCTTCTTGTTATAAAGACGTTCTTGTTAAAAAGGCATTTGTTCTGTTGTGTATTTATTACAATTTAAAAATGTACATTTCAATTATCGTGTTCTATTTTTGCCCTACGCCTATTTTGGTTACCAATCGTTACCCCAGTGCCCCCTTCCCAAATTCGCGACAGGCTGTCGTCAAGGCAACACAACATTTGTATTAAAAGTTGCCTTGTGCCCCGACGGAGTAACTCACCCCGCTTTATTATTTATTGCCCGGCATAATAAGTTTCACCGCCGTTTCACCCCGGTCGTGGAAAATATAAATATAGAATAGTAAGTACTGACGGGTTACAATACACGCACACTATAACTTCTGTTTGTATGCGAAATCTGTGGTGCTTAAAACAACATAATTATTATTATACTTCTAAATATACCTTTCATTATATTGTACTACACGTTATATAATTAAAAATGTAAATGACTATGTAATCATATCTATAAAAACAACTAGTTGTGTTTGAACGTTGTGGCAACATTTAATTGAGTTAGCAGTTTAGCATTACGCCATTTGAATTGTAAATAATCTCAGTATAGAGTACTAAAAAAACTGACCTCAAAAGTTCGTGCAATTACGTCAAGTTACGTCAAGTTTTAATGAAATTGATTACGGAAAAGTGCGCGAAACTGGTGGTAAATTCATGCCCTAGTTTACCACCCTTAGAGGTAGAATATTTTCTTTAAATTAAATGGGACTACTACCGAGGTACCCTCTTTCCAATTAAAGAAGAATCATTTAAATCGGTTCACAAATGTCAGAGTTATCGCTTAAAGTATATATTTAAAAAAAATACATACAGTCGAATTGCGAACGTACTAAATTTTTTTCCGGCACCTTCCTTTTCTTTGTTCGTAAATGCACTTACGAATAAATTTCTTATTTGATTCATATCATTATCACTTCATTATTTTATTATGATTGTCATTTTACGACTATTCATATAGGCGTAACAGAAAAAGTCATTTCAAAGTGTACAATTTAAATGGCCAAATAGCATTAACCACTTGAGCACCCTTTTACGAAGTTACGTCTCACCACACAACGATTTTACCCCGACCTTTGTTTGTTCCAAACTTGTTACGGCAAGATTGAGCCGAATTCGAAAACTCGGTTATTTATTCATTTAAACTACGTAAATAGAGTAATGCTGTGGGGGTTAACTTCTGGCTGTTGATGGCCTTAATAATGTTTATTTTGTCAATGCTAATATTTGTCGATGTTGGAAGTTGTTTGCCCAATAAAAAGACTTTAGTTAATGAGTTTTTTTCTTAGTGATTTGCTTTCTTAAGATTTAAACATGCAAATGTGGTAATTGATTTTGAATACACTGATAGATACGGGTCTCTT